TTCGGCTTCGTCTTCTTCTTCTAGTTCTTCTTCTCTGGCTGTTTAGTTTCTTCTTCTTCTGGTATTCTTCTGCTTCTTCTTTTCTAGTTTAAAGTTTCTCCTTCTTCCTCGGGTATTCTTCGGCTCCTTCTAGTGCTTCTCTGGCTCTTCAGTATCTTCTCCGTCTTCGGGTATTCTTCGGCTTCTTCTGGCTCTTCTCTGGTTGTCACTTTCTTCTCCTTCTTCGGCTTCTTCTGTTCCTCTCCTTCTGTTTTTTTCTTCTTATTTGGCAGATACCTTTTTTTATCGCAAATGCTTTCCTATTTAGCAGATGTTCCTATATTTTGGCACTACCGTGATATCATATTTTAGCTTAAAGCTAAAATTGCTTGCAGTTATCCTTTTTCCGTTATACATCCTGTCTAATTCGACGATTACTGGGGATACGAAGTTCGTTACTCTGTATGGTCCGCTGTATCTCGGTGCCAACTTAGCTGCGAAGTTTTCGCCCGCCTTCGAATAATTTTGCTAGTACTCGTATTTAGTGCTAACGTCATTTCTGGTATGCTTTCGTTCGAGCAACTCTAATTTTTTCCTGTGAACTGTGCTAGAATTTGTTTGATATTTCTGTTTGCCCTCGCCGTCGGGTTTTCTTGTGGCGTGTACGGTGCCGTTAATTGGTGATTTACTCCGTATCCTTGTAATAACCTTTTGAACTCTTTGCTTGTGAACTAGGTTCCGTTGTCGGTTATAATAATCTTCGGAACCTCGAATTGTGCGAGTATGCGCTCTCTAAACGCCTTGACCTTCGGTTGTCGGTTTCCTCAAAGGAACAATTTTTATCCACTTCGAGAATTTAACGAAGAACACCAGTATCGTCGGTAACGCGGTAGTGGGCCTACAAAATCTGCGCATACTGTTGCCCAGGGTTCTTCGGCAATTTTGTTAACATTACCGTGCTGTTGCTTTTACGATAGTTTTCCTGACGCCCATGAGACCGGCGCTGGGATTGTCGTGAACTTCTCTCAGGACTCTCTGACTTAATGGTGATGAGACGGAAAGTTTCCACGTGGTTGCGTCTTCTTCCTCGAGTTGTACGGCTATGTGCCTGTATAATTCCCCTTCATGTAGTGTATAGTCTGGAAATTTTTCGGGAGCCGTCTTCACCTCTTCCATTTTAGCCTCTAGCCATTTACAGTCGATCGTTCAAGCGTTCTTCCTGTGACTGACGAGATAGTGCGTCTGCGACGACGTTTACCCGGCCCTTACGGTATTCGATGTCAAATGTGTGTTGCTGCAATTCTAGTGCCCATCTTGCGATACGGTCTGAGGGGCTCTCGATAGCGTTCAGCCGTTTTAGGGACAGATGGTCGGTGATTACTGTGAAGGAGTAGCCTTCGAGATACAGGCGTATTTTACGAACTGCCCACAAGATGGCCAGACATTCCTTTTCGGTTGCCGATTAATTCTGTTCGACTTTGTTCAGTCGCCTACTGGCGTATGCAATCACTTCTTAGGCTCCTTCTAATTCTTGTGTTAGGACCGCACCTTGTCCGAAATCGCTGGCGTTTGTTTGCAGGGTGAATTTCTGTGAGAAGTCTGCACAAGCTAATACAGGTGCCTCCGTCAGTGGCTTCTTTAGCTTTTCGAATGCAGCTTGTTGTTCCTCGTTCCATTTACATCTACAACTCTTCTTGAGTAATAATGTCAGCGTCACAAATCGTCGGTTCCATGATGCTATACCTAGGAAGCGTCGCAACTCCCGTGTATTCCTTCTTCCCTCACTACGTGCCCTAGATATTTAAGACTCTTTTTGAAGAATTCGCATTTCTCTGTGTTTATCTTCAGGTTCGTCATTCGTGGTTTTCGGAACATCTCTCTAAGGTCATCCATGTGTTGCTCCAACGTTGAGCTCGGGATGATGATGTCCTCCAAATAGGCGAATGCGTGTGGCTCTAGTTCTGGTGCAATGACTCTTTCCAACGTCTTCTGAAAGGTAGCTGGAGCTGAATGTAGTCCGAATGGTATAACTCGCCAAGGGAATAGTCCACGAACCGGTACGGTAAACGCTTTGTACGGCCTACTTTCCTTCTTCATCGGGGTTTGCCGATAGCCATTCTTTAGGTATAGACTGCTAATGAATTTTGCGCTCCTTAAGCGATCTACTATATGGTGTATTCGGGGGAGGAGGTAAGCATCTGGTACTGAACGAGCGTTGAGCTGGCGGTAATTAACGCATAGTCTCCACCTCCCGTTATTCTTCTTTACTAGTACGATTGGTGTGCTGTGTGGACTACGGCGTCGTATTTCACACCCCACTTGCGAACGCAGCCCATTACTGATTGGTTGGACAATTGTGGGTAAACGTGGGTATACGCCTCGATCATACCTGGAGACATTCCCATCCCGCCGTCACTGCTATGTTGCTGTACCTACGGCAGCTGTAGCGACTCCTTTTGCTTCGGTGTAGGCGTGTTTGTTATCGCGGATAAATTCGCGTGTCTCAATGATAAGTCTGTGACCCGATTATGGAGACCTTCGCTCTCGCCCTTCTCCTGAAGAAATGTAGCGAGGTGTTTTCGTAACTCGTCGACGGTGCATATATTCGATAGGCCGAACTCGGTGGAATATTTTATTAAGTACTTTTTGTTGACCTGCAGCCGAACTTTTGCAAACCATATCCGTAAACGAGAGAAATGATTACGACGGATTGATGCGAGCCCTGGAAAGACGATATGGTAGCGAACACAGAAGACAGATTTACCAGATGGAGTTAGAAAAACGCGACCAGAAATTTAACGAATCTCTGCAGGAATATGCTTCGGAAGTTGAGAGATTGGCTCATTTAGCTATTGGAGACACATCTGGTGAGCATCTTGAAAGGGTGAAGATACAAAGATTCGTCAGGGGAATAAGAGACATGTACACCAAGCGAGAGACATACGCGAATCCAAAGTTGACATTCGCTGAAACTGTTGCGTATGCGAACACACGTGAAACGGCGGCACTCATAAGCAGACCATCTTACAAAGTCAATAAATTGGAGGTTGAAACACCAGTAGGGCAATTCTCTATCGTATTATAACGATTTTCAGATCGTTATAATGACTTAACGATAATTTTAACGATTTTGCTATTCTCTAAGCACAGTAACGATTTTCGGATTGCAAATTCGACTTAGCGATATTTTTAACGATAATCGCTATTCTTTAAAATGGTATAACGATTTTCGGATCGCAAAGAAGACTTAACGATATTTTTAATGATATTCGCTATTCTCTAAAGTGGTATAACGATTTTCGGATCGCAAAGAAGACTTAACGATATTTTTAACGATATTTGCTATTCTCTAAGGATAGTATAACGATTTTCGGATCGCAAAGAAGACTTAGCGATAGTTCTAACGATTTTAATATTCGGTGTACTTGTTTTAACGATATTCGCTCTCGCTGTTGTCGTAAACTATTCGAAAAATCGCTTACTCAGCGACGAATATTTTTAAGTTGCTAGCGATATTGACAAAATTTTGTTACTTCATATAAGAGAGTAAAGTGTCTAAGTAATACAAAAATAAGAATAAAATAATAAAATAAATAGCTTTTGAATATTTGGCACACGATTTGTCACAAGATGAAGAGGTATCCTACACTACATCATTGGATAGAAGTTTGCGTCGAGAAGCGGAAGATGCTTTTCATTTGGATGCTACCGAGTTTCGGCAGCTATATAGATTAACGCCGGATTTAGTTGAAGAAATCGTTTCTCAACTAGATTGTCAACTAAAAGGAAGAAGAATAACAGCATTGTCTACAGAGAAACAGGTAATAATATATTTTTTCAATATTTTTTTTTAGCCTTAACAGTATTATTAAAATGTTTAAAGGTTCTAACCGCCTTGCGATTTTTTGCAACTGGATGCTATTAACGTCCCGTCGGAGAGCAATGGGGGATATCCATGAGTCAGTCGTCAGTAAGCCGTTGCATTCATCGCGTAACAGACGCAATCAACCGTTCGATGTTTCATGCGAAGGTTAGGTTTCCAATGACTCAAATAGAGCGGCAAGCTGCAATGGAAATTTTTGCATCATCATCGTCACCATTTGTTGGAGGCACTATTGGAGCTATCGATTGCACTCATGTGCCAATCATGAGTCCCAAAACACATGAAGAAGCTTATGTAAACCACCATGGATACCATTCCATCAATGTGCAAATGGTGAGAGTAAATTTGTTTCCGATTACTATTGTAGTAACAAAGTTCATTATATTTTCACATAGATATGTGATCCTTACCTCAAGATTTTGGCGGTCAATGCTAAGTACCCAGGAGCGCGGCACGATTCTTTCATTTGGAGCTCCTCTACAGTGCGAAGAGTAATGCAGCGCAGTTTTGAAAATGGAAACCACAATATGTTTTTGATTGGTAAACTTTGAAAACCATTTAAATTCATATATTAAAAATAATTATGAAAAAATTAAATTTACAGGTGACTCTGGATATCCATTAGAGCCGTGGTTAATGACTCCTCTTCCAAACCAACCTCAAGGAAGTCCCAAATTCCGCTACAATGAGGCATTGTGTAAAGCACGAAACCCAGTCGAGCAGCTTTTTATCGGCGTTCTCAAAGGAATTCGCGAATTATTTCACTTAAATATCAATTTGATAAATAAAAACTCCGGAATATAATTTACATAACTTGTAATTTTATTACATATTTTTGGTAACAAATTCTTCAGTCTTAATATTTTCAACATTTGTACTTAAGTTAAGTTAACTCAGCAAAATACGTACAACATACAACTTAATTTAAATGCATAATTCATTACATATCTCAGTATATAATCACAGATAAGTATTTTTATATGGGTTTAAATACCACATATCATCACATTCAAGTTTCATAAAGGAGAATCTCTCATGTTCATAACTGCATTACTTCTTTAATATATGTACACTTATGTAAAGGAAAATTGATCATAGTATATCTAATATGAAGTCAGATATAAACTCAAGTATAAAAAAATACTCTCCAAAACTTATTTTTTTTTTCAAATAAAAACTTAAATGAATAATATAAATAAAAAAAAGAACTTCTTGTACTATGTTTAAATTAACTCTAATCTAAAAAAAATAACTTTAAACTCTATAATATAATATATTTACATACGGCTAATTGCGTCGGCTAAATTGTTGAAGGCAGCTGCACAACTTTTCAATCCTTCCCCCATTGTGGTCATAGCATCTGCCAATGCCTGCGTGGTCGCCGCATTGCTTTCAGCTAACAACTATTAAAAAAAAATTATACAAATATTTGCGATGCAGTTCTATAGCATTTAAAAAAAAAATTACCTGCAAGGCATCAGCTTGCCTGCTTGCAATTTGGGTGGATGCTGCACTCGACTCTGCTAACATCTTTTCGAAAAAAACGAAACGACATAAAAACATATTCTAGATGTGTTCCAAATGCAAAAACACTTACTTTTAAAGCATTCGCTTGTGTTTGCGCAATTTCTAAAAATGCGTTTAGGGTATCGCTCACATCTTCCACACGTCTTCTCCTACTGCCTCTACGTGGAGTTTTTGAGGCTTGAGTCGCAGGAGTCGATGTATGCATTTCCAAATCGACCCCATTTGAAAATGAAGGCATCTCGATAACTATGCTCTCTTCAACCCTCCTCTAATCGAAGTTGCAGTTCCTAATATTGAGGAGAATTTTAGTCATTTATATTTATACCAAACTGTTAATTTTTCATTACCTCCTCTATAGGCACCGTTTCAGGAACGTTTTCGTGGTCCTGGACATAGTCATTACCTATAAGGGCAATGACTCGTCTCTCCAATTCGGTGAGCGGCTCCTCATTAATTGGATTGTTTCTTGTCATTGCCCGCTTTCTTTTCCGGTCTCGGACCTTGATGCTGGTACGGCTTTTCAGATCCCTCCATACCTATTTGTAAAATATAATTTTAACATACTGCCAAATTGCTTAAAAATATTTACATACCGTGCGCCATTGTTCGACAATTTTCACAGCACAACCAAGGCAATTCAGCGTACTAGCTATTTCACTCCACTTCCTATCGCAGTCTGATTTTCCATGGAGCTTCTGTAACCGAGACCCTGCCAAACCCGGCGTTTCTCCGAAAAAGTCCATCATTCGAATTTGCTGCTCCATTGTAGCTCGGTTTCTTTTTGTCGTAGCCATTTTATAATTATACACACAATAAGGCATGTCTAATAATACAAAAACTAATAAACGTTTCATTTTACTTACATTTTTCAAAAATATATTCAAAAGCCAGCGGAAAAATATGTACTTACTAATTTGGAATAACGAATTTATATGTTTTTGTCATTCCTCTTTGTGTTTTTCGCACAATTTGACGTATTGTTAAGCTGTTTTGCCACCTTTCCTACATTTTAATAAAATGGAAATATGCGATGTTGATTATCGTAACAACTGAGTTAGAGAATCACATAGCGCAAGCGACAAAATTCGCAACTTTGCGATCCGACAAATCGTGTCGATAAAAGTTACAGAATTGCACTGCAGATGAAATCGCTAAAAGAGGTGAATCGTACTGGTTTCAAGACTCAAGCGGGAAAGTGCTTTAAATGTGGAGAGCCTGGTCACTACGCACGCGAATGCAAAACAAGTTCCAGCAGACAGGAGGTACAGCGAAAACGGAAGGCAGAAGAAGATACACCATCAACTCAAAGTTATGACTTCACAATCGAGCACCGCAAGGAGAATACGCACGGAAATGCTGACGCTATGTCCCGTCGACCACGTAGTATAGAATGGAAACGTTGCTCAAAAGCTAAGGGTAAAGAAGACATAATAGACGTCCGGCAAATGAAAGTTACGCAAGCAGAAGAGTGGGAGGCAAGTAACTTAAGGAAATGTCAGCAAGAAGATCCAGATCTAGAATTAATAATGCACGGGTTGGAGGTAAATAAACGACCGAGTAAGGAACAAATGGCTGCGGAAAGTCCTATCGCAAAGGCATACTGGGCACAATGGAACAGTTTAGAGCTGATATCCGGCNGCTGCCAAGTTAAGTTAGTTACAAAGTGAACTGGTTGGCGTTAACATCAGTACAGTCGTAAAGTAAACGCGTTGGAGATTACATTTAAGTAAAGTAAATTGTGAAAGTTGATGCCAGTGATTGTAAATAGTAAAGTGCATTATAATTGAATTGTGAATTACCGAGAAAATAATTAATTCTTTATAACGAAAGAAACTGCAAATTAAGTTGGCGAGTTTTTATTTAACAATTCAGAGATCGTATCCGAAGGATTCAGAAAATCATCGAGGTTGATTTAGTAAAATCGTAACAATGTTATCTTATACATTGTTGTCATCGGCCATATAACAGGATGGGAACGATAAGGGACTCATGGATTTTTTTTCGTTCGTCGAGAGAAGACTTTGATTTTCTAAAAAAGTACATGCTGTCTAGAGTGATTCTTCGATGGATTACCAGGCTGGTTAGCGTTGCGTACAAACATTCGGTTGGCCAGGATTCGAGTTTCGGTCCTACCAACAACCCAATTCATAGAAAATTAAGTCTTCTAATTGCGTGCATTTCTGACATGAAATATAAGCTCCACATAAAAATTCATCGAACGTTCGAAGCCGGATTAAATTAAATGGTAGGTCGCTCCATTTATGGAAAATCGCTTCAGCGGTTACAAAGCGCCAATTATTTATTTGTTTATTAAAGCTAAACTTTTATTTACAAATTAAAATCTAATTAATTTAATAGCAATAGCAATGCAAGCCTGACACTCATTTGAAATAAAACTTTTAAACTATACAATGCTTAGTATACTATTTATTTTTTTAAGTTACTTACATAATAACATTATTTAAATTATTATATATGGACATTTCTTATAAGATGGTATAATATAAATTTTTTCTTCATCTACTGTAGCAAGAAGTGGGGAAGGCTGAGCATTTTTAAAAATCTATTTTCTTATATTGCCAAATTGCTTGCAGACATTTAAAATATGTCCTATGTTTATTATCGATTGTGTAGTAGAAAAGGGATAGTAAGTCAGATCCGCCTTACTGTATCATTGTAAAAATAAATGTTGATGTATTAAATGTGTATGTCCTAAGCTTAAAAGCTCAAATTTGGAAATATCTAGTCTTGTCTTTGGCGTAAAAAAGTTCTTAGTTGACGACTTATGTACATGACTCTACTCTATACCACTTTCACATGTGTGTGAATAAGTTTTGTAGAATGAGTGAAAAATGTGTTTTAGTTTGTTGTAATTTGATAATGATGTTACGAATAAGAGATAACAGATTTAGCTTTTTCATCAGCAAACTCATTCCCAGATTTCATTAATCGTGCGAAAATCGGCCTCACAAGTCAATCATGCGTTCCTATTGAGAAAAATAAAAAACACGGAATAAATTAATAAATTAGAGCTTATTGAAAACCACTTTAATTTGTATAAATATCAATCAATTTGTATTAAATTAGTTTTCCAACTTACGGTTTTTAATCAAGCAATATACAATAGCTTAAATGTTAATGTGTTGTGAATTGTATACAATTTCATCTTAATCTCGACCTCCTGCTTATGTTGCCTTGAATATCCTTTCTTGTTTTTGGACTTGATCTGTCGGAATAAAAGAAAATACTAGTATATAAAATTTTCGCCTGCGTCATAAGCCTTCCAATAGTTACTGAATTCGAATTTCTCTTCGTTACTTCCTCGTGAGGTCACGTCGGAACCCAGAGTAACTCGTAGAGGCGACGATACGACGATCTGCTAGCCGAATGAATTGGAATGTAGGAGCGGTATATGGGATAAGGGACATAGCCGACTCCCATGGTTTTTGTTACAAAGGCGGAAAGCTATCGGAAACTGGAGTCCTGGAGTCAATGGCACGACGGATCATTCGAGGCCCACCTGAGTGGTCTAGAGTTAAGACATGAATCAATTCGACATAATAGAGTCGAAAATTCTTTGAAAGTATATTTCAGCACCGAAGTTACCCTCCGCAAATGAGACTTTTTACCCCAGAATGAAATGTTATGAGCCTATAAAAGGCTGCTAAGAATAGAAGAGTGCTTAAGTCATAGGTAGCCTTCAAATGAACTGCTTTCGTTGCAAAACAGGCACCTGTAATTTTTAATTCCGAACACCGGTATTTGTAAACGGTCTACAAAATATTGCACATCCTGTCGAAATAAATCCCAGTGATTATTATTGAGCCTGTCTTTTGTATATAGTACATATTTTGCAATTATGTTTTGAAATGTATTCAAGTTGACCACTAGGTTCGTTTTAAAACGATATGGTCTTTACCCAATACCATAGGAGGTACCTGATGCTGCACAGACTCCAAATCGCTTACTCAAAATGTATGAACTGAGTTACTAGCCGTGTGTATTGGAAATTGTGTGCTAGGATTATAGGACGCCGATCGGTGTAATTTAGGTCCTGTGATTCACTTAATTTTTTTTTTTTATACAGAATTCATTTATTTACTGGATCTGCTATAATATAAGCCTAACAGTAAGTGTACAAATCTTAAAAACTAAATTACAAACATGATAGCTCGAGTTATTCAATTCTGAGCCCTTTTCAAACTACGGCGTCTCCTTAGAAGGCGTGAACATCTCTTCGCTGCAGGCGGAAATTTCTCGATGGGCTGCATAAAGCATTAGCTAGCGGATTTTGATGATTAGCTTTGTGAAGTACTTCGTCCTGCTTCTTTCAATTTCAGGCTTAACCAGTAAAATACCAAGGTCTTGATGGATGTTAACGTTACGAACCATGGTGCGCCTGTTAGTGCTCTTAAAATTTTAGACTGGAACCTCTTTATTTTATCGATATTATTTGCACTATGTGTCTCATCCAAGTGAGACGTCTATCTAAGTGTATACCGAGATATGTAACATCATTTACTTGGGGAATGTTTATACCATTTAAGCGAATTGCAGGACATGATTGAGGTCTTAAAGTAAATGTGACGTGTTTACACTTTTGTTCATTAACTTTAATTCTCCAGTTTTTAGCCATTCTTCGATGAGGAGTAAATGATCACTAATCGTTTTTGCTGCTCTTTTAGGACATTTATCCCGGCATAAAATAGCTGTGTCATCCGCAAAAGTAGATTTCTGCACTTTTCGGTTTAAAGGTTTAAAGATGTCTGCCGTGTATATGATATATAAAAAGTAAGCCCGAGGACGCTACCCTGTGGAACACCCGCTTTTACCGGATACTCCTCACTGATAAATTCAGATTGTGTAATGGTAAATTGTCTGTTAGTCAGATATGACTTAAGTATCATATAAAATTGAACAGGCAGAGCTTTATGTATTTTATACAGTAAACTTTTTTGCCAGACTTTGTCGAACGCTTGTGCTACGTCAAGAAAGATTGCACAACAATACTCCTTGAGCTCAAATGCCTTTCTGATTTCATTAGTTATTCGGTTAACGTGTTCAATAGTACTATGCTTTTCACGAAAGCCGAATTGGTGATCTGATTTTACATTGTTACGGTGGAGAAATAGAGAAATTTTTGATAGCAGACTTGGCATTGTGATCTTTTGCTTGTTTCATTGCACTCTTCAGCTTCCTCTCTGCTGCTTTCATCTGTAACTTTGCTGCAAGAGAGCGATATTCTTGCCATTCTCTCCGCAAACGGCGCTTATTCTTTACTAGTTCTTCTATTTCTGTATTTGTTAGAATTTTTTGGGAACGTAGTAGGCTTTTTACTTTTTGTAGTTGCTATGGTTGCCGCAGAAACAAGGACATTATTTAGCTCATTAATGTAGTCATCAACATCGTTTTCACAATTCAATACGGGGTTGATGTCAATTTGACTACTAGTATATTTTTTGTATTTCACCCATTTGGTTTCTCTGTTTGTTAGTCTTGATTCTTGTGCCACTATATTCGGGCGCTCGTAAATTTTTATTAGAACTGGTGAGTGGTCTGAAGACAACTCAGCAACTGTCACAGCTGATACAAGTTGCCTGTCGATTTTTCT